TTAGGAGATGGAGTTGGTCATGTGAGCAACGAGCTCTCTTCAGCACCTGCTCTGGGGAGGCCCTGCCCACCCCCTCATCTGACGGGGGCCTTGGGTCCCTACCTCCAGGCCCTGCTCTCCCTGGGCTTCCCCAGGTGTGGCCAACATGCCCCCCCCCACCCCAACCCCTGCCATGCCTAATTGGGTCCAGGAGGAGCCTTGACCTTCAATGACCAACGTTAAAGTCAAGATGTATAAGAGAGTCTCCAGTCTCAGCTTTCAGACGCAGGGGCAGCCAGGGCCCAGGGGCTACAGGAAGCCTCTCTGCGGAGAGAGAACATGATAGAGGTCAGGGGCCTTTTGGGGCCCAGCTGTGATCCTGGCTCTGGCTTATGAGAGGTAGGCCCATGAGCAGTGCAGCCATGGGTTTGCTCCTCCCATTTTCTGTCTTTTGGGACTTCCTCCTGGCAGTCCCTTCTGTGTGCGTCCCCCCAAGGACTGGGACATCCTGGAGGGGCCACATCTCTCATCACATCTGTATCTGTCTTATGGCGCATGAGGGCTCAAACAAAGTTTTAAAACAGGGTGCTCGACAGAACTTGCAGCCCTAGGGATGAGAACGTCCCTGGTGTCTTGAACACATGATGGTGTTGACCACACTGGGGGTGGGGAGTCTGATCACGTGGATTAGACACTGGTCGGCAGGCAGGTGAGGAACCAGAGAACAAACTGAGCAGAATTTTCTAGCAGTTTGGTTGTGAGGGGAGGAGAGTGTAGCTGATGTCCAGCTGCTGCTGGTGGAGGGCAAGGACACGGAGGTGGGCAGGGCTCCTGGACCCCGTGGGCCCAGCTGGGAGAGAGTGGGTGTCCTGGGCAGAAGTTGGGTGTGTTATTGCCCCCATCCTGACTGTGCAGAATGTGAAGTGATTGGTCCCTGGACATGGAGTCAGGATGTCACAGCTGGTGGTGTTTGAGACAGAAGTCTAGTCTGGTCCCAGACTAGACCCTAGACCAGCCTTGACAGGGGTCCCCCAGCCATAACAGTACTCTGTAGCTTTGTCCTTTTGAATAAGTAGTTTTGTGTGACACTGAGCTTTTGGCAGAGTAGTTAAGTGTGTCCTCAAAATCCTGAGTCTCTGATGAATGCTGTTGCCCAGTGCTGGGCAGCCTGGAGAAACTCCTGGAAAGAGGGCCAATTCTGGGCTGGAGCCCAGAGGAGCCCAGGAGGCAAAGCCAAGATGCTGGAGGAGCTGAGGGTCTGGCCAGTATGGGGAAGGGCTGGGAGGGAGGGCAGTTCTGAGTCAGTGGCAGTTACTAGGAAGCTGTTGATGGGAGGGGGGTGGGTAAGGAGGGGGAGTTGGAACCCAGGCAGTTGGAGGGAGCTGGTTCTAGCAGCCCAAGTAGGCAGGTGCTGCTGGCATCCTCTGGGTGGGACAGAGGGGACGTCGGGCCAAGGGCAACTGATGTCTTGTCCTCCTTTGGGCTTTGGAATTTCCCAGCCCTGAGTTTAGTCTCAGCCAAGTCCTGAGACATGAAGAGCTGGAGGGGGCAGGCATGGGTGGAAGTATGTTCTTGGTGGGGGGGAAGCTCAAGAGGGCAGTGAGGGGAAAGCCTGGGAGGAGGGGTTCCCTGCCCTGAGGGCACCCTTGAGCCTATCTCTTGGGAACACCTTCTTCAGGAGGTGCTGGGCCTGGCGGCAGCAGCTGTCCAAAATATGGACTTGACATGGATGTTCGCCCCTGTCCCCCCCGTGCCCGGCTGGATGGAGGGCAGAGGAGGGGAGGGTCCACAGGCACGGATGGCCCCTGGCTTCCTGCACTTCTCAGCGGGGCTGTGCCTCCTGCCTGTAACCGAATCTGCACAAAGCAGCTAGAATGTAACAATGGGAGCAGCCTGGTGTCCCCCCTGGCAGCTCTGCAGCCTTTCTGCAGCCCTGTCCCCTGTCCTCCTCCTGTATCCCCAGGGTCCCCAGCCCAGCCTCAGACCCCACAGATCCTCCAGCCTGGCCTGCCCACCCTTCATCTCGAAGGTTTTCCTGTCTGCTGGTGCTTCCCCGGGGAGCTCCATCCCTCGAGTGCTGTAGTTCACCTGCAGTTCTCGTTCCCAAGAAGTTCTCAGGGCTTCCCCCAGGGGAGAGACTTCTTGGCGGGCACTTGGCACGGAGCTCTGGTCTCTTGCTGCATCCACTCTATGCTGGGTCCAGAGGAAGCACCGCTTGTCCTGAGCATCTGCTCAGATGTTTTGGAAACTTCATTTATGAAATGGACAGGGTCTCAGTCTGACTTGCAAAGGTGCAGGCGTTTCTTATGCTCTGGCTGGGAGTTGGGGCTACACAAGCCAGCTCTGTCTGGGCTGTGTTCCCTGTGGTTCCTTACCCCTGCTGGATGCCCCTCTCTTCCCTGAACAAGCCTCTTATTCCAAACCTGCCCTCATTTCTCTTCTGAATTATTTTCAAGATTCATTTTGAGACTGTTAACTTTTGTCACTTGATCGTACATCTCTCATTGGCAGTTATTTTTGTGAGTATCCACAGACCTGTTTTTCCCCAATTACTTTAAGTTAGAATAAGATAAAGGCTGTGCAGTTTGTACTTTTCACGGTGCTTTGCAAGCACATGAAAGAACACTTCCACAAACCCTTAACTTGAACTGGTTTATGAAAAACAAGAAGAAAAAAAGAAAACACATGATTCCTACTAGAATGTTTGAGCACATGATTGAGGGCAGAGATGTTTTAAACTTTTTTGATTATTTTTTACCTTTGGGGCCTGGCATGCTAACATTAGTTGAAAGAATTACTCTTTGAAAACATTGTGGGGAAAATAACCTTATTCCATGAAACTTTTATATTTTCTGATAATGAGAAAAAAGCCTACATGGAGCTAATGCTCCTGACTTGCCCACATCAGTAGTGTTACGTGATTTTGGACATTACTGTAATTTGTCAATTGATTTCTATCAGATTAAATTCAACCAAATCACCTGCTAATAGTAGATTCGACATTTCATCAAAGAAGTCAAAAAGGGGTATCTGGATTATGGAAATTTGGTTTATGGTCAGATATTTCTGGGGCACGATTCTGGGCAGAGTATCACATTGTTAATGCAGTCGGGGTGGTGTGGGCAATGGGATCTGGGAGGGGTTGCTGGGACTGAGAGCACGGGTTCGGGGCGGGGGGCAGCGGGACCTGGGAGGAGGCACCAGGTTGAGAGTCGGGGGTGTGTCCAGGCTCTCTGTGATTGACGAGCTGCGTGACTTTGGATCAGGAACTTGTCTGGAGCTTGCTTTTCTCATAAACACTAGGTTCCTCTAGTTTTAACACTGGGGGAGTTATTTTCAGATCATGTCAGCTGCCTCTGAAGATCACCCTGGTGGAGCAGAGAAAGAAAGAGCTGGACTGGGGTCCAGGAGCCTTGAGACCTTGGGGTGACAGGAAGAGGAACCAGGACCTCAAGTTTAACTTCAGGGACTGGGAGGAGCCTCGTGCACAGATCAGAGGGGATGGGTGGCCTGGGCTATTCTCAAGATTGAGTTTCTGAGCCTTCCAGACCAGAGGTGAGACCTTGAGGTGCAACCAAAGTAAAGATCTGGGTCCCAAGATTTTGGGGTGATATGACCCACATCTAGAGTGGCAGATTGCACAAACGATCTACAAAGAAAGGGCCGCAGGAAGTCTGAGGAGGACGGTGTTTCGGATCCCATCCCTCACCCTGTGACTGGCTGCCCCTGCCTTCACCACACCCTGGAGGGTGCTGTGGTGCCTGCCCTCCCAGGACACTGGGACACACACAGCATCTCTGGACCACATATTCTGTAGAATAAGGGATTGGAACATGCACTCCTCCACCTGGCTTCCAGCTCTCCCGAGCGGTGATAGAATATGATGTCCCTGAAACAACAGGCGGCGGGTGCATTTGGACTGGTCTTCCCTCTCCGAGGCATGGACGTGGTAGCTCTGCATGGTGCAGATGGTCACGATTGTGGCAAGCCCCAGACAGCTGGATGATGCCCACTGTGCAGGGGGCTCCTCCACCCAGGCTGCCTTTACCAGCACCTCTGGAGAAGCTGCTGGTGGCTTCTGCAGGCAACCGGCAGGTGTGATGCCCAAGAACCACTCCCCACCCCTCCGCTTGGCTCATGAGACCCCTTTGGATCCCCGATCAAGACCGTCCCTTGTGTGATGTCTGTCTTTTCCACTGAGTGGGTGGCCCCCTGTCCTGCTCAGTCCCTTCCTCCTCTGCCCTCCTGAAGCACCCTCACCTCAGGCTCCTCTCCGCCTTGCTGGCACAGCCATGCTGATCATGAGCGTGTTAACCCACCCACCTTACCAATCCAATGCCCCATGTCTAGCAGCAGTTCTGTTAATAATGGTTGATGCTGTGTGTAGTAACCATCACAAAGTATTTTCAAGATGCCGTGATCACATCATTACTTATTTTCCCTCTACAAAACATCTAACCATACACTAAAAACCCTGGATAATCATGTACCGCTTCATAGGTATCCGGTCGTGGTTAACACTAGCTTTAAAAAGGCTCTTGGTTGCAAGTGACAGAAACCCTACTCAAACTTGTTAAAGCAAAAAAAAAAAAAAAAATTTTTTTTTGGACCAGATAATTCAGGAGCGTTGGGGAGTGATGGTTGGCCAGTTGGACTATATCCAAGGGCTCCAGTGTCGTCAAAACACTCATATCTTGCAGCCTCACCTTCTCTCTGTTTAGCCTCATTTCAAGTATGTTCTCCCTAGCTGATACCTCCTCCTTCCAGCTAGTTTCCTGTGCTTAAAGGAGCTGTTTCTTTTCTTGGGTCCATTCCGTAGCTTCCAACTGATCCCCTCAAGGCCTGAATTTGTCCTTTTGGTTCCCAGGTGTTTGCTGATCCCAAAGTGGATGCATTTTCTTAGAAATGTCTAAGAACAGGTTTGGGGTGAGGTAGGAAAGCCCCAGTTCTCAGGCAGGGCCCCTGCCTCATCCTGAGACCTCCATCCTTACCCCTTGGTACTCAGGGCCCAGTCATCTCACCTCACTTTCCCGGTTGGTGAAACGGGGTGACCCACTCAGTTTACTCCTCCTCCTTAGAGGATTTCATGGGGATCAGATGAGGTTACACATGGGCCATAAGATACAGACACCCATCAGTAAAGGCCTGAAGTGAAGTGAAGTGAAAGTCACTTAGTCGTGTCTGACTCTTTGTGACCTCATGGACTACACAGTCCATGGAATTCTTCAAGCCAGAATACTGGAGTGGGTAGGCCTTTCCCTTCTCCAGGAGATCTTCCTGACCCAGGAATCAAACAGGGGTCTCCTGCATTGCAGGTGGATTCTGTACCAACTGAACTATCAGGGAAATCCCACTTTTAAATTATTTAACACTAGTAAAGGCCTAGTGTTAAATAATTCAATATATACATGATATGCTTGCAAATATTTGCTTGAGTGAAGGGACCATATTTTAAATACTTTGTCTACTTTATAAAGCTTATGTTTATGTTCAGTCAAGATATCACCACATTTTTTCCCTCTAAATTTTACCCAGCTTAGTATTTTACTCACTGTTTTTGTTTTTCATAGCCCAGTGTCTCTTTGCAACCCTTTGAACTGCAGCACGCCAGGCTTCCCTGTCTTTCACTGTCTCCCAGAGTTTGTTCAAGTTCATGGCCATCGAGTCGGTGATGCCATCCCACCATCTCATCCTCTGTGGTCCCCTTCTCCTGCCTTCAATCTTTCCCAGCATCAGGGTATTTTCCAATGAGTCTGCTCTTTGCATCAGGTGGCCAAAGTATTGGAGCTTCAGCTTCAGCATCAGTCCTTCCAATGAATATTCAGGATTGGTTTTCTTTAAGAATAAGTTATCAAATCACCATAGAAGTTCAAGGCCCAGAGTGGCCCAGATGGGAAAAGGAGTCCCCAGTGAGAATGGGGGAGCCCCGCGAGGGCTCACAGGGGATCTGGGGTTGTAACGACACACCTGGCTGTAGGCCCCCAGCAAGATCTGAACTGTGACAGCCCCCACCCCAAGGTTACTTGTCATGGCCTCTGCCCCTCTCCCCAGATGCTGGGCCATCATTGAGGCATTTCTAAAGAGAGATATATTTTGGTAACCTAAGGAAATTCCTCCATTTTAACAACTGTATAAAACGTCATTTTCTAAAAGCAAAGGAGCCCTGAGTTTGACAGTTGACCTTAACAAGGATCTCTACTTGGCCTGACATGGGGTGGGGCAGGGGCGATGCAATTTAGGAGTCGTCTGTGACCCCAAGGGTCTCCCCAGGACACCAACACCCACTGGGAGGAAGGTCAGTCCTTGGAGTGACCTGAAAAGGCCAGTGTTAAAGGTCGTGAGTTTTACCCTCCCTGTTATAATGATCTAAAAGGAGCTGTGTGATCGTGAAGCTCCCGTGTTTTGAAGCTGAGATTGAGAGATGATTTGGGGATTTTTCCCACCTTGCTCCCTGTCTGAAAACAAAGGGGGAGATTCTTACCTTTCTAAGGAAAACATTCATTAAAGCATTAGCCTGAATGACAATCAATCTGCCCCAGTAGCCAATTTCAGGAGAACCCTTCAATGTTCCTGCATAGTCCTAAGAGATGAGATGCTGTTGTGTTTTGCCTGAATCTGTGTGAGGGGGCCTTGGACCATGTCCAGAAGCCTGAACCACGCCAGCCCCTTGGTGGGATGCGTGTGTGTGTAAACATCGACGAAACCCTAGGAAACGCATGATCCTTTTGGGTCCCGTCCAGTCAGCTGGGATGCCACACTGTGTGGACCACCTGTTCTCTGCAGCAAAGCCATGGAGTGGGAGCTGGAAGGGTTAATTGCTGCCAGTTAGAGTGCCTCAGTTAACTAGTACTTGCTGAGTGATGGTATGACTGCTGACGCTCAAGGGTCCTCCTTCAGACATGGACCCCATGGGAGAGATTTGCTTTTGAACAAAAAGCCAAACCCTGTATTTCTTAGTCAAACCAGAATTAAAACTAAAACACTGAAGCATAGAGTGTAAAACACAAAGCCTTATCTGTAACGTCTGACCACAGGTGCTGTCTGTGGTCAGGGCACAGAGTGGGGTTTGCTGGTGCAGCCTCCAGTGAGGATCTGGGGGTCCCTGGCTGTGAATCAAGGAGCCAGGGAGGCTGGCGGGACACTGGGTTGGATGCTGCCCCCTGCCGCTCAAGTGCCCAGGGCATGAGAGGGGACATGGAGCCAAGGCCAGGTCCCAGGTGGACATCCAGGCCTCGGGCAGGAAAGGGCAGAAATGGGGCCACAATCCTGTTCCCTGAGGAACAGTTTGTAAAGTCTGCATTGCTCACCAACGCTTTTGTGTGAGTTGGTTCTCCTGGGGAAACTTGGAGGAAATGTAAAATTTCATAGCCCTTGTGGTGGGGGTCCAAGGGGCGTGGGGGTGACCCTGGAGATGGGGCGGCAGGGACAGAGGGCAGAGGCCCCATGAAGAAGGATGTGCCTGGAGTCTGCAGAGAGGTGGGCAGGGGTTTCAGGGGTCCAGAAGGCTCTGAAGACTTGAGAAGACACCTTGATTAAGGCCTCTCTCAGCCGCCCTTGACCTTGATGACTTGAGAAATGCTGGACTAGAGGGGACTTGGGTGAGGGGGTCTCAGCATACTCACTACTGATGTCCTGGTGACACCAGCGAGTTCAGGCTCCCCCCACCTTCCCTGTTCACAGTGAAGGCCAGCCTGCCTCCTGCCCTCCACCCCCAGGCTCCTGGGCTGCGTTCTGGGTCTGTAGGCAGATGGGCAAGGCTAGGCCCGTCCACCCCACAGTGAGTAGAACAAGGGGTGTGAGCTGCCCAACTGGATGTGCAGACTCAGCCAGAGGGCTGTGTATCAGCTTGGTGGGCTCCCAGTCCTGAGGTCTACCTGGGTCCTGCCCTTCCTGCAATGGGCCCCGTGGTTCTACCCTATCCCCTTGACAGCAGTAGGAGTGACCTTTGACTTTGCTCCCTAACCCTGCACGCCCAGGCGAGAGTTTCACTGGAAACCCACTGCCTCCCCCCCTCCCCCTGCAGACCCAAACTGACGAGTGTGGGCCCTTTCTGTGGGAGAACATGACCCCTCCCAGCCAGAGGCACACGCCTCTTGTCACACGTGTGTGTGTGTCTGGGTTGCCAGCTCTGTGCTCGTGCTCAGGGATGCCCGCTCCTGGCCTGAAAGGCAGGTTCCCTTGCTCCGAGGGGTCCTGACTCAGCTCAGTGCAGACTCTTCTTCCGGCCCACCTGCTCCTTTGGCCTCTGTCTGTTCGAGGACAGCCTGGGTCGCTCACCCGTCCACCCCGACATCCCACCCCAGGAAGGTGTGGTGTCCGGCCGCTCCATCCTGAAGGGTGGCCCAGACATCCCCCCTCAACCCTGCAATCGCATCACCATCATGCGGGCCCCCAGGTGTTCGGTCAGCCCTCCCAGCCAGTGTCTTGTTTCTCTGACTAGATTGTAAGCTCTTGAGCACGATGTGGACTCCAGGCTCCAGGAAGTGCTGGATGCTTGTTCACACATGTTGCGTGTGGTTGGCCAGTGCTGGGTCGATGGCTTGCTGGTTGGAGAGGAAGGAGCATCAGGTTGCTGGCGGCCGGGAGCACAGGGGTATGGGGAGCATGCACGGAGCATGGGATGGGGGTGGGGAGCACAGGAGGGTGGTGGGGAGCACTAGGCGGGTTGGTACAGAAACATGATTTGGATTTTAGTTCTGTTGCTGCCGCTGGCTAGCTGTGCGCCCTCGGGAGTGTTTTCATGTGTCTCCTAAGGAGTCAATCTCTCTGTCTGCCGCTGTCTGCCTCAGATCTCACCCCCTTGATTCTGGGATTAGAGGAGGGGCTTCGTTAAGCTCCCCTCAACCCCCCAGCTCTGGGTCGGGACCCAGTCCTTGGAGGCCATTTGGTTCCTCTTCCCTGTGTTCCTCGACTGATCCTTCTATTAGGTGTGAGGGGTACCCCGTGCCCATGGAGGCCCCAATGCACCAGGCTTTGTTTTCTTTTTTTCTGCCGAGTCCTTGCGGTCTGTCTGAGTGGGTCTGTCTTTGCCTGGCTTCCTTTGCATCTCCCCCATCAGCCTTGCAGGCCCTGAATCTCCAGCTTGTGTGCCGAGGACCCGGACCCCTGTCCTGAATTCTTGGTTCTCTTGGCAGAAACGTGCTGGCCCCTCCTCCAGTGTCTGGCTCGAGGGGACGGTCTCTGTCAGCCTCACACTGCTGCAGTCAGCCCCTCACCTGACCATGGTGGCCGGCTGGATGTACCAGGACCTGGGCTGACCCATCCCGCTCCCCTGGCTGGCATGTCACCTTCTTCCTCTCCTTTCTCAGAGGCTCCTCTGGTGACATCTTGGGTCCAAGCTGTACTGGACAGTGATACTGCCCCGAGTAAGGAGGCCCCAAGGGAAAGGCCTCCCAAACTCTGCCCTGCTGGTGTGGGAGGCTGGCATAAACTTTGCCTCTGAGTGTTCACTTGTTTTAAGTGAAAAAGAAGTGACTGATGACTTCAGAAATGATCCATTGAAAAAGAAATGAAAGAAGATCACCTGATTTCAGAGAAACTTGCTGCCCACTAGCCAGTGGAATCTGGAGATGATAGTGTTGTGGCCAGAGGAGGGGTCGTGTTCGCGTGGGTGGGTCAGGTGATGAGTCAGAATGTTTGTGGAGAACTGCTCTTTGCATAAGATTTGCTGACTAAGCGAGTTTGGTTCATTCACCTTTCAGTTGCTTTCTCTAACCTAACAGTTGAAATGACTGTTTACCCAATGTGGACTGTGGGATCCTCGGCAGGAAGGTGGGGCCAGGAGTCGCCCAGCCCTGCTTGGGGCCGAGCTTGTCCTCTCCCGACTGGGCCCTACTCCCAGTTTTCTGACTCTTGGGTCTGTCTTTGAGCCTGATGGGGATCTCTGCCCAATCTGGCCCCCTTTCACTTGTTTTCATTCTCTCCCAAATGTCTGGAAGTAACCCTGGCTTCAGTGGGTAGTTCTCTGAAAAGTGAAGTCTGAGGTAGAAGGAAGAGGCAGTGGGATACATAGGAATAAGGGGTGTCCATGGCTGGGAACTTGCTGCTCCAAGCTGCTGATTTCTCAGTCCACCAGACATGCCAGCCAGGCCCCACCCCCAGGCTGTGTGGGCACTGGTGAGATCGGTGGTGACCTCTCCAGGGCCAGGGACCACTGCCTTGCTGTGTCTGTACCAGATTGGCTGGGTCACAGGGGATCATGTCTCTTAAGGTTCCA